CCACGGTCGCCTGGAAAGAAGCAGACAGTTGCAGGATTCACCGGTTGACACTAGAGGGAGCAACAAGCCCGGGAAAGCGGTGAGGACCACACCCAAAAATCTAAGAACTCGCCTGGTTCCGGGCCTCTCAGGTCGGGGCAAGAAGGATTAGGAGTTGGGGAAGGCGAGGCGAACGCAGGGAGCAGAGACGAAACCCCTTCCCTTCGGCAGCGGCTAGAGGGTGGGTCTTTGAGAGTGGGTGGGACACGTCACTCCTCGCAGGCTCTCCGGCTTCATCTAGCTCGCCCAGCCTCGCCCTACGTGCCCTGGGTCACAGCAAACGACTCCTGGAGAATATTAGAGAGTCCCGGGTGTTTAGCTGGAGAGCAGGACCCCACAGGTCTCCGGCTGGTTTACAAAACCTCATGCGGAATTGATGGGCCACTTTAATATACATCATCTCACTGATGATCTTCGCAGCTTGGAGTTTGAGGCTGAGGCTGTCAATCTTGTTTTAAAAGTAATGAAGAAACCGAGGTTCAGGTAACCGCCCGCGCTCTGGCTACTCCCTTCATCACCACTCGCTATTGGTTCGTCTCTTGTTGATCTTGTTTTGTTTTTATGCGGCGCCGGGGATCCAACGCCCCTTTTTAAAATTAGTTCAAACTACACACACAACTGCAAGAAAACTACCCCGCTCCAAGTAGCCCATAAATCGTTTCAAAATTCTTGTTTTGTTTTCCTTTTCACGTGTGTGAATATTTTACCTTCGTGTATGTCTGTGCACCATGCGCATGCCTGGTGTCGCGGGAGACCGGAAGCGTGTGGACCTGGAACCCTGTAAATGGAGTTGTGAGTTAGCATGTGGGCGCTAGGAATGGACTCCTGGGCCTCTGGGAATGTAGTCTGTGCTCTAAACTATTGAGCCATCTCTCCACGTCCGTATTTGTGTGTGCATGCACCGCCATGACCTGAGCATGGAAGGTAAGGGCCGATCTGTCATTCTCTCCTTCTACCATGTGGGTTCCAAGAACAGAACCCAGGTCACTGGGCTTGGCAGCAGGTGCCTTTACCCACTGGGCCATCTTGCTGGCCCCATAAACCAAAATGATATTGCTACATCCTGTTTTCCTAAGCCATCCAGCGTGGCGATGAGACAATACAATGTAGTAATTATGAGGGTGCACTCTGTCCTTACCCAGCCTAACCTCCTTCACACTATCAGCACCTCCCAAGCCAAACACTTAGAACATCTACCTACGAAGTTTGCCATTAAAAAAAAAAAAAAAAAAAAACTTGACCTGGTTCCTTGATTGTGGACCTTTCTTTGTGCTCAATTGAGCAAATTATGTCTGGCACATAATTTAATAGTTAACTGTTGCATTATATATATGTTATCTATACATACATATAATGGTTTTACTGTATAAATATGTTTTACTGTATAAGGCATATATGCAGTATAATGTATAATAGTTTTACAATCACAGCCAGCAACAAACACTTATAACATCTACCTACAAAGTCTGCCATTTTAGAAAAATACTTGACCCAAACTGCAACCTTTTACCACTTAAATGGCAAAATAGTATTGCCTGACACACAGGAACCATTTAATAAATGTTTATTTCTTTCATGCCATTTATCAAAGTGGAGTTAGAATTAAATGGGGAGATTGTCAACTAGGTTTGTACTGAGCTGGTCCTCCAAAAATGACTGTCCACAGGGAATCTCAGGATGTTGGCTAGTTTGGAAATAGGGTCTTTGTAAATGTCATGAGCCAGGAAGAAGATAAGCTAAGCATAGCTAAGCTGAAAATAAGCCAAGCATAGTAACACACACTTACAAATCCAGCTATTTGTGATTTCCAGGCCAGCATGGCCTATATAGGGAGACTCCTTCTCAAAAAAAAGTCACAGTCGTCTCTAAATCCCGTGTATCTAGTGTCTTCATTCTCATAAAGAGGACATATAAAATACTGAGAGAGAAGGGAAGGCAGCCAGGTGGTGATGGAAGCAGACACGGCAATGATGAAACTGTAGCCAAGGACTGCCGGGAGGCACAAACTAGGAGTCAGTCACGGCCTGGGTTGTCTTCACAGCCCCCAGAAGAACACAACCTGTCAACAGCTTGCTTGCAGACTTCTGACCTCCAGACAGAGAAAGAGCGTGTCCTGTTGTTCTAAGCTACCCACTCTGTGATTTGTTACAAGAGCTCGAGACAGAGTGGTGATCAGACCCTGATTAGTTTTTTCATTTCCAGTCTAACCTCTTTTACTCTACTGTTGACTTTCAAGCCAGAAACAAACACTTAGACCATCTTCCTGCCATTTAAAAGAAAAAAAAAAAAACCAAAAAAACAAAAAACACTCGACCCAAACTGCAATCTTTTAGCACTTAAATGACATTAAGTTATTGCCTGACACTCAGGGACCCCTTAAAAAATATTAATGGACAGGTTGATAAAACATGATGTTTTGTGTTATACCTATTCAAGATATCATGAGCCTATTTTCACCCTCTATGTACCAAGACCATAAACTTATTTACAAGTTTTCTACATTGAATCACAAGATTCCAGAACTCAGTGCCACTGTTGAAGGCTGGAGTTTATCTGAAGCTCAGAAGTCCTGACTGTTCACTCCCTCAGGGGTGATAAGTTGAAAGCCATCTAAACATTCTCAGGACTCTGAATCTTACGAGGCAGGGATGATCTCATCCTTGCTGAACCCTTCCACACTTGCTCAGGAATGGGCCAAAGGAACCCAGAGAGTTGGAGGACTGGCTCGTTGCTGTAAAGGATGTGGGCCACGTGGTACTGTTTCCATTAGGTCAGCTTTGGAGTAGAATGGGTGGTGGTGGATTAATGGCTGCAAAGGGAGGGAGAGGGAGGCTGTGAGCGCTGATTCATTGGAGCAAATCTTAGAGTGAGTCAGAATCCAGCAGAAAAATAGCCTGTTGCCCCACATCTGCCTCATTGTCTGGCAATGAGACACTTCCTCCACGCATACCCACAGGCAGAGCAAAAGGAAGGAGGAGGAAATGGAGTCAAGCCTGCGGTGCCGCTCCTGTGCCTAAGACTGTGTCTTTAAAACCACTGCAGACACTGTGCTCTGTTCTGAGAGAGGTCCTGGAGACCACAGTGGTCTACAACTCACTGGGTGGCCAGAGGGACCTTGAATTCCTGATTCTCCTCTGCCTCCACCCCCCCACATCATGGGATCACGGGTGTGCACTGCCCTCTCCAACCAGATTATCTTCCTAAATGCAGATATCGTTATGTTCTCCATGCTCTACGCCATTGTTCCCAAAGCACCTGTGCGGGAGCATCTCCATGCTGTCTCCCTGACCTTCCCAAGCCCGCAATGGCTAGGGGAAGGTATGGAGCTGTTGGCTTTGCTCTGGGGTGCTCTTAATGACTCTCCTTCTCCTCTAAACAGGTCCATCTGTTGAGAACCGGTGGATGGTTAGCAATATGGCACAGGTTTGGAGTTACTGATTCTTGTAATTGTTTTTTACCATTTACTAACTCTATAACCTTCCGGTTCTCTTAGTCTTTGACTCTCTATCTTCTCATCGTAATTGGTCACAGTGATGTCCACCTCACAGGGCAAAACAGACCTCTCACACCACACTGACATAGATATTATGTGGATGAACATAGCAGTGTTGACGGGAAATACTGTTTTACTTCCTCTCAACCATGATTACTCAGGATGGCATCTCTCTACCAGACTGTAAACCCCACCTGTCTTGAGGCCTATGTCTGCCTAGGACAGTGGCTCTCAACCTTCCTAATGCATACAGTTCCCTATGTTGTGGTGACCCCAACCATAAAATTACTTTTGTTGCTACTTTGTAACTGTAATTTTGCTACTGTCATGAATTGTAATGAAAATGGAGATAGAAATTTGCTGAGAGGTTGCAACCCACAGGTTGAGAACCACTGGCCTAGTCCCTAATATTCTCTTGCTAGTAATTAATTGTGAAGATTAGGAATAATGTATTCAGAGTAATACATTACTTGTGCACGTAAATACTTGTCTTCTTGTGTGAACTTGTTACACGTCCTGTAAAACAATGTGGCTATTCATGCAGCTCAATCACTTGTGAGCTGAAATGCAGGCTTTAAAAGAGGAAACCAAACGGTCAGATCTCAGGTAGAATGCATTCCTGTCCCTCCAGGTTATCTATCTGGTCTTGTTTCTATCACTAGGATCTGCATTCCTGTGTTCACAAGGACAGCCGTTCCCTCTCATCCAACTGTTCTTTGTTTCGGCTTAGTTACAAACGCCATTGTCCACAGTATGACCCAACCCAAACATACAAAACAGTGTTCCACACACACGAAAGGCGAGCACAGCGTGGGAAAACACCGAAGTTTGCAATTAATATGACTTTGCCCTGAAAGGCAGATCAGCAGGACCTACCGGGTGCAATCCGGTTTGTTCTACCCTAGAGGCTCCATAGCCAGAACCCTCCGGTGCAGCTAGTGTGATGTGGTTAAAAGGATGGACTCCAGGTGCTTCATCTTTGCGCCCTTGCAAGGGAGGGTGGGGGGAGAAGGAGAGAGAAGAGAGACAGAGACAGAGAGCGAGCAAAGAAGCTAACTTACTAGGTTTTCAGTAATTCTATAATGGACACTTCTTTTATTCACATTTAGGATAAAATCCCAATTAGGCCACTAGAAGGTGTTCCCAGGGTCTTGGCCCGCAGGCTCTCAGGAGGCAGGTGGAAAGTTGCAGAACCCGGGCCAGGACAAGAGAGAGCCCAGACTCCAGACGACCGGAGGAGGGTACTTCCTCTCGGAAGTGACGCCAGCTCAATCCCAGCCTAGCTCTCCCAAACAAAAGGGATCTTGGGGCCCCGGGAGGAGCCGGGATGATTTTGGAGAAGCCCCGCCTTCAGCCGGCGCGGATTGGAGGCAAGGGCGCGAAGGCAAGACTGTGATTGGCCGTGGTGTCTGCCGGTCACTGCCGCCGGCCGATAAGGGGGCGGGTCCTGGGAGGCTGGGGATGGGGAGCGGGCGGCGGAGGCGGCGGCGGGGACGGATCCCGGAGCGCCGAGGCCAGGTACGGAGCGCGGGCTCGGGGCGCGGTGGTGCTGGGGGGCCGGGTCCCCGAGAGCGCCTCCTGTCCGGTAGCGGGGGTGGCTTCCAGCGGCCATCCCTGTCGCGGTAGGGCTGGTCCCCTAGGGGGCGGGGCCGCCGCCTCCAGATCCCGGGAATCCCCCGAGGAGGCGCCGCGGCATCCGCGGGGGTCTTCGCGGCTGTTCATTGTCTCTCGCCAGCCTCCGCCCCTCAGCAGGGGTCCCCTCCTGACCCGGCTCACTCCACGTCGCCTTGTGCCCAGCCCCAGCCTCGGAGAGGGACTAGTGGGTTTAGTCTCCTAGGTTGCAGCCCCCACCCCTGTGTTGGACTCCCCGCAAATCCAGGCATCCCTTCCCACACCTGTCCCCTGCTTGCAAGCCTGAGACCAGAACTATAGTCCTGCGTAAGATAAAGACATCGTTTTCCTGATGAGGGATGGGCGGAGAAGAAAAAAAAAAAAAAGGACCCAGCCAGACACATCCAACAGCCAAAGCGGCCTTACCCCCTCTTTAGCCTTCCCATCCCCCAGCCTATGGTTGCTCCTACAGCCCCTCGAATCCTGTGTTCCCTAGCTGAGTGTTGAGAGCCCCCCGGCTTCGGAACATTTTTAGAATCTGGCAAGAGAAATCCTATATTACCTTCTTCCCATCGCCCTTTGTACCTTCCTCATCTTTTCTGTTTCTTGTGGGAGAACCCAGGTCTTAGGGGCTTTTTAGCTGTGAGTTCCCTTTCGGTTCTGCTTTCCAACCGGTTTCTTCCCTAAGAACTTGATAGAAACGGGTCCGCATGTTTTTTGCAAGGTGGGTGTGTTAGCTATCAGCAGAGTTGGCCTGGTGTGGGCAGGAATGCAGTGTGTATTGTTTGACAGTCAGTGGATAATAGCATATTTTCGAATGAACCAGTGTCGGGGAGTCAATAAATGGCTTTGCACTAGGAATCCCCGTCTCCGTCTCCCGATTTGGAGTGGGCAGGTCCGTTGCTCAGGGAGACTGCAGTTAACCTTGAAAAGGTGTATGGCAGGTTGAAACAAAAGACAGGAAGTATTTGAACAAAATTCAGGTTCAGTTGGCTAGGTTTATGATTAATCTGGTCCTGTGGCCTCTGGAATACTGTCTCACCCCTCTTTTATAGTGGGATTTTAACCTCAGAGGAAATTAACAGAAATTGTGATTGTTCCTACTGCACCAGCATCATCAACCAAAATTTAAATCATTAAAATAAAAGGTAGTTTTCAGTATCAGGGAGAAGGGCAAATAAAAGGCCTGATAGATTCAGTTCTTGTGTAAAACTACTGAAATGTCTCTGTGGAGCACTTGTAAAGATTTGCTCAAGTCTTCAAGATTTCAGCATTTGCAAAGTACAAATGACTTTATCCTAATGTTAAAAAGTCATAGAATCTCCACTAATCATCTTTGGCTATCAGTACTACCTATTAACTTTTCCCAGATTTTGAGCATCTTAAAATTTTTTATCTCAAGTTCATTTTGCTACTGGCTATTTATAGCTGCTAGCTGTAAGATGCAGAGTTGCAGTCACAGAGGGTGATTGTAGAGGCCTGTTGTCCCTAACCTTTCTGAGCAGACTTCCTGAAAGTAATTATTTTTGAATAGTTAGGTTCCAAGGTTTCAGAACCACTCTAGGCTCTCCTTCGTGATTGTTTCCAGATATGTAGGGAAAGGAAGCACAAAGAAGAAACTGTATGCAGGCTCTCTCTAGCAAACATAAAGTTTATTGCCATAGGAGGGAGAGATACATTATCCCAGAAATAGCAACAGTGGGGGAAAAAACTAGAAGCAGAACAGGAAATCCCCAAAAGATGTATCTTATTACATGAGTAGAGAACAGAAAATAAGCGAAGGTAGGAGAAGTCAGGAAACCAAAGGAATGGTGGTTGCCAGAGCCTTGATAAACAGAGAGGAAAAAGAAAATAATGTCCATTGATGTTCTGACACAACAAACTAGACCTGTTTAATACACCTTTGGATCTTGAGGGTTTTGTTTTGTTTTGTTTTTAATTTAGAGTAGGGCACTTGGTCTCACCCTGTTTCTGAAAACTGTGTAACCCTGCCTTTTGGGATTACAGTACTGTGCAGCTCTGGTGTCTTTCCTTTAACCTTTACAAAGGTTTTTTTTTTTTTTTTTTTTTTTTGGTCATGTTAGATGAAGAAAACGTGTGCAGACAGTTTGTGTGTGTGTTTAGTGCGTTTCATTAAATTACTCTTTGAGGTCATAAAGTCTTGTCTTTATAGCTTCCACAGTGCCTAATGTGAACACTGAATTTAGTTTAAAGCTCTCAAGGAAGAGTCAAACTAGACAAATAACAAACTGATAAAATATGTTATATCTTGTTCGTTTAAACCGTCTGTCTTCATGTAATTTGATTTTTTCCGTGCCTGACATGATTGGAAATTACAATACATGAAGTGGCTAAAATATTGACTTCCCTATGAGAAAATATCTCTGGCTAGGTAGTATTTTTTTTTTTTCTCTGTCATGAATTTTGAGCCAGATTTATGGACTTGGTCAGTTGTAGTAATGTTAAAGTTATGTGTGTGCGAAAATCTGATCTAAAGGGGATGGAGTCGTTCTGAGTATTTAGTTTGACATTGGTGTACTGCTGGCTAGCTAGTCATGTCATCTTTCCACAAGCCTGCCTCATCTGGGAAGAGGGAATCTCAGTTGCGAAAATGCCCCCACCGGATTGGCCTGTAAGGGCATTTTCTTGATTGCCATTGATGTGAGAGGACCCAGCTCACTGTGGGTGATGTCCTCCCCCCACATGCCCCCACCCTCGCCCCAGGCTTGGAGCCTCAGTGCTGTAAGAAAGCAGGCTGAACCAGCCAGTGAGCAGCATTCCAATTCCTCTATGGCCTCTGCTTCCTTTCCTCAGTCCAGATTCCTGCCCTGACTTCCCTCAGAGATAGTGTGTGACCCGAGAACTCTAAGATGAGATGAACCTTTTTCCCCCCAAGTTGCTTTTGGTTGTGGTGAAATAATAGAAACACACACTAAGACAATTGTTCTCCTTTAAAAAAAAAAAAAAAAAAAAGATTTATTGTGTATATAGTGTACACCTGCATGCCAGAAGACAGCAACAGATCTTATAGATGGTCGTGAGCCACCAGGTGGTTGCTGGGAGCTGAACTCAGGACCTTTGGAAGGGCAGATAGTGCTCTTAACCTCTGAGCCATCTCTCAAGCCCCGACAGTTGTTCTCCTTTAAGGTTTTATGGGTTTTGTTTTAGTGGATTTTTTTCAGTGTGTGTGTGTGTGTGTGTGTGTGTGTGTGTGTTTCTCTTAACCCTCTGCTGAGACTTGACCTCAAATCTTCCACCAGAGCGATATATACCTCCAACCCCAATTTTCTGTGTTTAATTTATCACTAAATGTAGTAATTCGCACAGGACTTCACAGATCCCTAACAGTAATCGTCAGATTCTTGTGGTGAGCACCATATCCCTGCTCTGTTACAGATTTGTGCCAAGTCAGAATCACATTTACAGTTGTACGGGTTAGTTTCCTACAGGAATTTGAATTCTTGGCTTCCCTGTGGTGTTTCTTAGAGGCTACTGTTGACTGATGTTGAGTGGTGTGAGGTGAAGAGAGGTTATTTCTAGTTCAAAGCCCCTCAGGTGTGAGCTAGAGGATTTTTCTGTTTTTAAAGATTGTGTAAACCCACTGTGTGTGTGTTTGTATAGAAAATGCCCCCAGCAGATTGCCCTGTTAAGCAAAGTGCCTCATAGGAACCAGCCATTGAGAGATGCTATTACTGTCATCTTCCTTGTTATTAGCACTTGGTATGTGCGTTAAGGAAGTTGAAATGCACACCCCTTTCTGCCCTCTGGAGGCTGAGGCAGGAGGTTCCCCTTTGAGACCGCCATAGTCCAAATGAAAGAGGAAAGGAAAAGACACTAAATAGTCTACTTCAGCAAAAGTGAAGTAGTATTTGCTGGTTGGTTGTTTTTTTTAAATTTGTCTGGTTTGGGCTGGAGAGATGCTCAGGGTTAAGAGCACTTTTTCCTCTTCCAGAGGGCCCAGCTTCAGGGTCAGCACCCATGTGACCCCAGTCCCAGAGGCTCCAGCACCGTCTTCTGACTTCCCCTGGCACCAGGCACCCAAGTGGTGTGTACATAAGTGCGTGCAGGTGAAACACTGGTACACATAGTAAAATAAAAGAAATCTAAGTAGCTGAGATTACTAAGTTGAGGAAAATGCAACACACCTGAGCCAACGGTGTTTTCTGAGAGTATATTGTTGTATCATGCACATTCCTCTTGTGTGTGTGTGTGTGTGTGTGTGTGTGTGTGTGTGTGTGTGTAAAACAAAGGCAAGAGATTCAAGTTACCTGTTGTTTCACTCCAAGCTCTGCTTTTAAATACCACCACCCTGTATCTTTTATGGTTTTGTGCTTCCTGTATGGGTTGTATCTTCTATAAGATTTAAGCAATTTTTCCATGATAATTTTGATTTTGAGCAGCCAGGCAGTGGTGGTGTACATCTTTAATTGCAGGACTAAGAGGCAGAGATAGGCGGATCTTTATGAGTTGGAGGCCAGCCTAGTCTACAAAATGAGTTCCAGGACAGCCAAGGCTACACAGAGAAACCCTGTTTCGGGGGAAAAAACAAACAGACAAACAAACAAAACAACAACAACAACCAAAAAAAAAAAAACAAAAGGAAAAAAAATATTTGAAGCTTTTTTCTTTTCTTATTTTTGAAGACTACCTCCCATGTTAATCCAAATGTAAGGAATACTTTTAAGAGCAACTGAGAATGGATGGGAAGGAAATAGGGATAGGTGACTTGAGAATGGATGTGGAAGATGGCAAAGGCAAGGGTTTGGGGTTTGAAGCCAGGACTTCAGACAGCCTTGAAGTAAAGAGTGCAATCTTATGGCCCCTCCTCGCAGAGTATATCCAAACTCTTTGTGTCAAATGCAAAGCCAGAGCTCTCTTTCTAAATGTGTCTTTGCTGTTAAAGGAAT